TTTTGAGGGGCACCGTGGTGGCGATGTTAACTACCTCGCCTGGTATACAGGAGGTCGTGGATTCGACCCTGACGCTTGCTGCTGTATATTTGGCGTTTGCGTGTCTTTTTCGTCTGTGGTCGCGTTAATTTTTCTCCAGCCCCTCCAGGGTTTCCCTCCTCATTTATAAACGTGCGTTTACAGCATTTGGCTGCTATAAATGTTCACCACGATAAACGACTTCGTTGGGTGATATAATTTGTGATAGCCAGGTCGCTTCTAGAACAATAACTATAGAGCTCTGTGGGCCTTGCTTGGTTTAAAAAAAAACAAGTGTTCTAGTTTTTAGAGTGCTGTATTAAAGGGTTTAATATATTTTTAAATAAACACGTTTTTGTACCAACTTTGGCAAACGAATAGCAAAACACTCACCAGTTGGATGTAGTTGCTGCTTCAGCTGTCAACAGACGCTTGTGCAGAGGAGAATATGAGGAAGCTGGTGCAGTTTCAGTGCTTATATGCAGGGACCTGGCACGGAACGACATTAAACAGTACAACCAGTAGGGGGGAAAACAAGTATTTTTAGCTACGAGATAAAAATGGCAGTCACAATTTTCTCAACTTCATTTCTACTTCATAGACATTCAATGCTGTTTGGGTGACTGAGGGGCACCATAGGTTCGATCCCGACCCTGACGCCTGCTATATATTTGGAGTTTGCGTGTCTCTCTCCTCGTGGTTGCGTGGATTTTTCTCGCGGCTCCTCCGGTTTTTCCCTCCACAATTTAGAAACGTGCGTTTACAGTATTTGGCTGCTATAAATGTCCACGTGATAAGTCTTCTTTTAGGCTATATATATTATTTGTGGTCAGGTCCCGTCTGAAAAAGAGCTATGTAGCTCAGTTGGCCTTGATAAGATAAAAAAGTTGTAGTTTTTTGGAGTACTGTTTAATATATTTTTAAATACACACGTTATTACCAACTTCGAGACTTGAAAAGCAAAACACTCGAAAAGCAAAACACTCACCAGTTGGGATGTAGTTGCTGCTTCAGCTGCAGAGGAGAATATGAGGAAGCTGGTGCAGTTTCAGTGCTTATATGCCGGAAACGTTGCGGGGCGGGGATTGGTTGTAACTTCACGGAACGGCAAGAAAAGCGTCATTTCCAAACACTCCGGCAGAAGCGTAACAACCCTGGCAGGGGCAGGGGATTTCGGGAAATTCCGCAGAATTCCTATTGAAAAGCCATTGTTGAAACTGTGTGGTGTTTTTAAAAAAATTCCCATTGCATGTTTGGCTACGCTCTGGTAAACGCAGCATGAATGTTACAAATATAACCACACAAGATATCTCCTTTACATACGTAATGTCGATTAAAAAACACCTTTTAACATTTATTGTACTGTCAAACTACGTTGCCTTCTGGGAGTGCACAATATCGATAAGACGGGATTGGGACAGTGCTGCTTACATTGTGTACTCCCAGAAGTCCTTACAATTTATGGGAATTGTCAAGCGTACTTGTTTATGTGGAGGAACAGATATACAAAGGAGACGTGATGTTTGCTTATGTATTTTGTTAGTCATTCTCCACGACAACACTAATGATTATTTTTTTGTTGAGTTTTGTGTGAAGTCACAAAACGCATTTACCCCGGGATCATGCTCAATAGAAAAAGTCCAATAGAAAAACGGAAGTTGGCTACGTTATTTTATTACTAGAGAATTACCATAAAAGCTATAATTGACCTTTATGTTTAAACAAGTATGTTCAATATGTAGGGTATTGCAATGTGTTCTCCGTGGGTATGTGGGTCATCTCTGGCCAAACTCTGGTTTCCTCCAAACACAATACTGAAAAAAAAATATAACAGTCCCCACATATCTGAAACAGTTGCCTCTCTGTGATTAAGTCTAGAGACTCGTTTGAGTTATTTCCTGAAGAAATAACGAATCCGATTAAGGGTGGAGTTGCACTTGCCGGCGGCACTAGACATGAGCAAACCAAGCAAAAGGCCGAGAGGCCTCAAGAAGATCACGGGGTTCCAGATTCGTGACCAACACAATGTGTGGGTGCGTCAAAGATCATCTTAAAATTCGCATCCCAATAAGCACAACAAGCGAAATCACGAAACATTAACAATGATATTTCACATACTAAAGTGGCGAGACTTTGCGCATGTTGTTATTGTTGTCGTCTGTTTTCCCGGTTGTCGTCCAGTCGTGCCTATCGGCGTTCATGCCATGAGGAAAACGACAGTCCGATTGTCACTCGCGCAGTGCGACGACACCTCGCGTTCGTCGAGAACGGGGAGGCATGGCCCTCCGGTGGCTCGATGAGTGAAAAATAAATATTTCGAAGCTGAAAATTGTGTTTCCTGGGTAAACGAGGGTCATGTTAAAATGCGATCTTTGTAACTGTGTAGAGGTGTTAACTACGCGCTGTTGTGTAACCTGCATTGCCACCAGGGCAGTGCAGCATTACCCCTGGGTACAACGGTTGGGGTCAGTCGAGGTGAAACGGATCGTGGCCAGGGTTTGGTGCGACCCAATCAGACGGTTCCACGTGGGAATGTATGATTGGTTCTACCTGGCCACGAAGGAGTATAAGACAGGTGACCCAACGGACCTCGGGGAGTTCTCTCCCTGCACGAAGATAGAAGACTGGGCTGAAGCCTAGCTAGTACCCTGGACCAGCCTTCCAGCCCTTCTAAGGGCTAAGGCTCGGCATACCCAGTGGTCAGGACCCACCGGGCCAGCGGTGGGTCAGATAGCCTCCCCTAGGTCCTAGCCGGAGGACTAGGATAGCGGTAGACGTGTGAGTCCCGCCAGGTCCGGAGGCTGTGTACCTCCTTAGGTATCAAGGAGGTTAGCGGTAGACGTGTGAGTCCCGCCAGGTCCGGAGGCTGTACCTTCCTAGGGTATCGGGTGAGGGGACCGAATACCCCTCTGTGTGTGTTAAGCGTTGTATAAGGAAATAATACAATAAACAGAGTGTGCCTCCTAAAGAAGTCCGCTCGTCCTTACAACACTACAACTGTACGCGTGTTAATAATCTTGGTTCTTTCGGTAAAGTCACGTAGAAGGGACACGATAAAATAATAAAAATATAAAACAATAAAATTCTCACGACGTTTTGACTGCAACACAAGCAATCGTCATTTTTTTTCTTGCTGTGGTTTTCACACCTGATGATGATTGCTTGTGTTGCAGTCGAAACGTCGTGAGAATTTTATTGTTTTATATTTTAATTATTTTATTGTTTCCCTTCTACGTGACTTTACCGAAAGAACCAAGAATATGAATCCCTGCAGTCACGAAAGCTTTAAATAAAAATTTGTATGCGTGTTCTTTCTGTCCCTCAGTGATCTTGTTGGGGAGACTGTTCCCCGTCTACCCGTTCTCCTGTGCCCCACCATTCTCTGACTCTCCCCCCCCCCTCGCGGCTGCCCCTTGTGGCATGATTTAAATGTCTATACTAACCACTTTACAAATACACCGCTGTGCCCTTCTCGTACCCGCCAGTCACGAGCTGTGCAGTGGCGAGAGTACCCACGCGCGGGCAAAATATACGCTCGTGCGCAAACACAAGACACCACAACGTGCGGGCTCACCGGGTTAACGTACGCGGCAAGCGCGCACACGTGGGTGGAATTACACACCCCGTGAGCAAACACAGGACACCACACCAGGCACCCCCTCCCTCCCCGTACTCACAGAGACAACACGACACGGTTTAATGTCTACTGGTGGTTCATTCTCTGTTTAACTAGAATTATTCTACTCGTGTTAGTGCGGGTCAGCTAGGCAGGTCTGTCCTATCCCCTAGCTGTTTAGGGCTCAATTTGCCTAGTCTCTCCATACTCACCCCCCTACGGGATTTTCTCCTCGGACTTACCTCTCCACTCTGTACTTACGCTCCGATCTCGAAGTGTCGGAAGCCGTGGAAAGGCGAGGCTGCGCGTGGCTTTGGCTGTGAAACTGGACCCGGCTGCTCTGCGACCCGTCTCACGGACGTTCAAGTAGCAGGAGGATGACGACTCCTCGATCCCTCACTCCAGTTGACCCCGAGCGCAAAGAGAGCGAACTTCCCAATTCCATCCCTTTTTATGCTTCAACTTCAAAGCCTACGCGCCGCCGATCCGCTGGCCCCTCATCCAATCAGGAGCCTCGGATTTCCCGCCCCCTGGCCAATCGGATTATCCCCCCTCTCCGACGCCCCGCCCCCCATTGTTTAACCGATGTGTGCAAGTTCGCGGTCACTCCACACATCGTTTACTGACCTTAAAGGTCAATCTGCGCCGCCCCGCCCCCCGCCTGCCTGCCGTTGCGTGGGCTTGGGCATTTCCTCAATGCGGTTCTCAGTGAGTTCGCCGTGGCCGTACAATTTTAAGTTAATCCACGGCGCCGCAGTGTCATTCGGCCTGGGAGGGGTTCTGCCAATTACCTGGCCCTGAGAAACCGTGGAGCACCCTCACGAGGGGGTCTCTCGGGTAAAAACTCAGGGGCAGGTGACCCCCCCCCCCCCACGAGGCCCTACGTGAGTGCACGTGTGTGTGTTAATGTGGGGGGTGGTGGTAGGGAAAGCGCTGTGATGGAAGCCGGGCGGCTTCTCTGCCGCAGCAGCAGCGCAGCGGCAGCCCCGGCGGAGCGGCTTCGCTGTCGTGACATCACAATCTCACGCGCTCGGCGTGAACTCGCCGCACTCGGTGTGCTGTGCTTCCCCACGAGGCTTGGGTGTTGGTCGCTTTTGCCAATTTTGCCAACTTTATCGACGACGCAAGTTTCACGCGGTGCATTTTATTTCTCGATCGTTGGCAACTGTTACTTGGAGCTTTCAACTCGCCGCACTCGAAATCGTGAACAGCTGAAGCTGGGATTTAAACGTCGGATCTTAGCATTGCCAGCTCCGTGTCTTTAATCATCAAGGCATCAATCCACTTGTAGGATACTTATTATTCCTTGTGAATCTCGCATTGTGGCGTATGGGTGTAAAACATATAAAACGGAGTACTCTTGCTATGAAGTTCAAAGTTTTATTTTCATCAACAATGATCAATACAAATCGAACTACGAGAAATGATTACAGTAAAAAAACCTGTTTTTAACGCATTGGGATTGGACACTGCATGCCACACGTGAGCAACAAGAATGAAGCAAAAGTGACTCGTGCAGGTAATTCGCGTTTGTAAATAAAATAAAATGAAAACGCGCAAAAGCACCAATGTGTGTAGGGATGGAGGGAGGAGGGTTGCGCGCTAGGGGCCTGCAGTCCGCGGCGGTGTTGGGACGCACAGATACAATCGAATCCTGAGTTACAGACAGACGGCATCGCTGGAGGAAGGCAACGTGAGAATGGTGACGACCGGGCGCGTGTACTGCTCAAAGCTGCCGTTTTCGTTTCGTGGCCATGAATATTTCGTCTATTCATTGGGTGATGATTGTGCGGGCGGCGTGGATGGAACTGGAGGCGCGCTGGGCCGCCCTCCACACCCCGTCGCCGACTTCTTGCGGGCCGGGGGGAGTGGGGGGGGCGCCACTTTTGTCTGTCTCGATGTCTGGACGTCTCTGCTCCCCTACAGATGGCGCGCGCTTCGTTGGGCAGCAGGAGAGACACTGCCGCCGCTGATGATGCTGATGCTGCTGCTGGTGATGATGCTGATGATGATGCTGCCGCTGATTATGCTGCTGCTGGGATCTTTTGACTTGGGCGTTGGATACCCAAACGGTGTAAACTTCCTGGTCGGTGTCAAAGGCATTTTTTTGTTTAAAAACAAATACTGTACTGTATATAAAATCACCGTAGTTCAGCGTGTTTTATTCAAGTCACGTGGCATAGGTGTTGTAACTCAATGCGCTCTAGAAATGTCCTAGGATTAAAATGAAATGTAAAAGGCTGGATATGTTACAGGCACCCGTATAAATCTTCCCTGCTGCTGCTGCGCTCTTGATCAGTGCGTGGTAAGTTATAAACTTGACGTCGCGATTTATTTCACAGAGCAGTGAAAACATTTGAATGAGAGCTCGCATAGACACACACCCCCTCGGCCCCCAGGGTATTCAAAACCCAGTCAAAATACTATCCGTTGTTTAAAAACTTGATTTGGTTAAATAGTTTTTAAAAATTTCATTCACAAGAACATCAAAAATGTAGATTTAACAATGAATATAATTACTTTTAAAAAAGGTCTAATTATATGTTAAGATTTTGTTTTCAAGCAGATGATATCTGAATAAGAAAATAATTATTTTCTTAATGAAAAATTAGCACAATTTTAACAATGTAAAGTTTTGTTTTTCACAGCATAGATATGTGTGTTTTGTGTGTACATGTACGTGCAGATGCGAGTAAGACATACGAAGACAAACATGCCCCCGATAGCTTTTACAGACTTTGGGGCAGGTGCTGTTAGCGAGCACCTGTGAAGGCAGCCAACGCGGCACACGAGGGGATGGGCGGCTCGCACCACGCCACTTCACCTGTGTCTCCCCAGCGGGGATGTTTGCACGCATCACCAGGTTCTCAATTAAGGCTGAGCCAACCTAAGAGAGGCCCGGCACCAGTTCAGATATCCATCAACGATAATGGCCGTGAGCGGGAATCGAACTCTGGCCACCGGGTTCGTAGTGCAGTGCGCGTACCGCTGTGCTACTGCTGTGTTTTGTCACACGCGTATACGCGACGCGTAGTGGCTCACTGACTCGGTCTTAAATGAGTACCTGGTGCAGTCTGTAAACATCCACCCTGGGGAGGAGAATGGTGGCTGGACGTGATGCTCGCCACAACAACTCGACGTGCACGGAGCAGGCCTTAATAGGTGCTCTCCAACTACACTTGCTGTAACAGTTTAGTTGGACTCCAAGGGGGATCTGCCATGTGTCAAAGGATGTCCGTGATTTAATTTGTTTGCTTTCTGTGTGTATGTATAGATTTGTATGTGTAGATGTGTGTGTGTGAATCTGTGTACTGCACGTGTCTGTGAGTGTACGTATTTTATGCACAGTATAATTGCGCCCTCTTCAGTTGCACAACGGTGTATCTAGACTTTCACATGACTATTCTTGCTCCATGCTGCTTGCACATCCTCCAGGGATTAGCGACCTGTAGGGGGGGAAAGTAAATCCTGTTACATTTGTACTGCCCAGTCAACATCAGACATGGTCTATCTACTTTTGGATGAAGGCCTCCCAAAAGCCTGTCACCATCCCCCATGATCCTGGGATGCCACAATCTATCTTTCTCCTCAACATTAGACGACCCCCATTGTTCTGTCTCCCCCGGTGGTCGGCCTCTCGAATGCATTCTCTCCTTGAAGCTGCCATTCTGTCGCCATGCTTGTCCGTTTTTTTGTTTTACCCACCCCCTCAGGTGTATGTTGAACATCTTTTATACCGTACGTGGCCAACCGCGCTAATCGGAGGTGCGGGGAAACGACAACAAAGCAAACTACAAAAAGCAGTTCTAAAGAAATGAGTTTTTAACTTTAATCTGAAAGTGCCAAGCTCCAGTGGCTTCCTAATATCGGCAAGAAGAGCGTTCCAGATGACCGCAGAAGCGCTTCTGAAAGTGAGCGATGCGGTGACCATCTTTGTTCGATGGCGAGACAAACGCTGCTGCGAGGATGACCGAAGTTTGTGTGATTGTGGTTCATTTGTGGCAAGCGCTTTGTGCGTAATGAGTGGTGACCACTTTAAACTTTTGTAATGTACCAGAGATGTTATGTCGCTTCAATAAGGCACGTACTAATTTCAGTTATAAAAATAAAAAAAAGAATAAAAAATTGTTAAAAATGTAGGTCAATGGACTTCTACCTCCCCTTCAACATTAATTTTCAGTGGGGCCCCAAAGTATATTGTTTGCCAAGTCGCTGAGCGACAGCCTGCCTGACCCTCGCCCCCAGAGTCCTACCTATGCTCGGCACATTCACACTGACATTTGCGCAAGCGAGAGCGGGGTTAGATACGCAATCGCGGGGAGATTCGAGATGTCATCCAAAAACACGTGACCTTGTGTTGATCACCGTCGGTGATAGCGGGCATGAAATGGGGGCACACAAGAGGCACGCATTGAGAGAGTGGAAGGTGCTTACGTGGGCTGAGGCTTCGGATCGGCGACGGGCTCCGGCTGCGCATGCTCTGTGTGTGGGGAAACACGTCCGCACAGCCCCTGTCAGCACGCACGGCGAGCCTCCCATCGACACGTAACGCACAGCCCTTTGACCATACTTCACCACGCTGGTCAGTACAATTTGGTTCGAGGGGGGGCTTAGGACCGGTACCAATATAACTCGCCACGGATGTTGGCCGTGGCCGGCAATTGAACTCCGTTTGCCGGGTTCGTGGAGCATTGCTAACGAGTGTGCCACCACTCCACCGACTTATTCCAAGCAGAAAACAAGCTAGCAAGCCAGTGTAGTCGGGGAGCCTCCCATCCTGTATGGGGGAATTTCGCTGAACAGACGTCAAGGTAAAGAGCAAAAGTGTAGCCATACATTCGCTCACGCCACTGCTGGCAGAAGGGCCTCCCATCAGAGGAGGCCCTGGAGAGGCCATCTCGAGTGTGTGTGTGTGTGTATATATAGTCTACTCTTCCGCTCTGGCCAGGTGAGTAGCAATATTTTTACACCATCACACGCGACTTGCCGGTCGAGTCACTGTGGTGTTCCCATTTATACGGCTGGGTGGACGGGGTAGGGGGGGGGATTTATAAACGTGTCCCAATGTTTCAGCTGCCGCACCGGGAGATCGATCCGGCGACCTCTGGACTGCAAGACCAGCGCGCGCTACTCATTACACCACGTTAGTTAACATCCTTCAATGTCTTCCTATACTGAGATATGCAAAAGAGAGGGGTATGCCGGTATTTCGCCATACCCGGTGCGGACTCAGGGAGTGCGAGCGGACCGGACTCGAGTTCCTGCTGCGGGAGCGTCGGCCAGAGGTCTGCGGAGCAAAGTGAGAGAGAAATCCATCGAGGGAACGGAACAAAGGGAGAACTCTGTCTCCGCACGGCGAGCGCGGAGCAGCAGCGGAGGCGGCGGCGGTGGCGGCGTTGGCGGAGCGCCGTGCGCCCGCTACCCACCAGTGCACCGCGGCGTGTCACCACCTCCCCCTTGGCCACGATGTTGCCCCCTTCCATGAGCGCCGGCCACACGTGGCAGGCCACCAGCGGCGCCGAGAACTCCGAGTCGTAGCTGCGCCGGTACCTGCAGGGGAAAGGAGGGGAACGGCAACGCTTGTACGCACGTACGTATGTTGAACTTCTTTCGTAGCGCGCGTAGCCAACCGTGCTAACGACGAAGCTTACGGCAGACCTAGATGCTGCTGGTGGGGGGTGGACTCAAGAGGTGGTTGGGTTTCCGTCAACGTTCTGGACCGGTTTCGATTTTACTTGTCACTGCTCTGGCCGGGAACCGAACTCTTGGTTCGGGATTAATAAAATGCTGCACGAACCTCTATATCACTGCACCACCGCTCCCCCCTTCATTTGGTCAATAGCATTCTAGACATAAAGCAATCGGGACCACTGAAGTTCTGTCACTCATTCTGTTTAGCATTAAACGTTGGTTCATAGTTTAACGTTGACTTTGTTGTGCCTCCCCCGCCTACTTGAACTTTGTATGTCACCCCATGGTGGCGGGATGTTAACTACCTCGCCTGGTGTGCAGGTGCTCGTGGGTCCGATCCCGACCCTGACGCCTGCTGCTGCTGCTGTATGTTTGGAGTTCGCGGTGTCTCTCGCCCCGTGGTTGTGTGAACATTTCTCCGGCTCCTCCGGGTTTTCCATGCACATTTTAGAATCAACATCACCCATTTTGATTGATTTGGCTGCTATAAATGTCCACACGATAAGCCACTTTGTTGAGTTATCACTTGTGATGGCCAGGTCGCTTCTTGACAAAAGAGCTGCAAGTGGGGCCCTTAACTGGTAAAATAAAAAGTAGTTTAGTTTCAGTTTAGGCGCGCCTCTGTAATCCAGAGCCGTTTTGGGAGAGGTAAGGGTTGGTGGGTCACGCAGAGATTTTGTGGAACTCAAAATAAACGGCGGGGAGGTTGTGGGGGGCTGCTGGGAGACTCCAGTAGGGCAACAAGTGGGTTTGTGTACCCATCTGTGCCATCTGTGTGGACCCTTGAGTATTTGTACACCCTGGTATCACTGCTGGGTTTTCTCTCATTCTGATAGCCTACAAAGTTTCAGTAAATAATCAAATATCATCATTGTGGGTAAAGGACCACATGGAATAACCATTATCAAGGTATCACAAGCAGGCCTTCGCCGAAAAGCGCATTTGCTCTCGGGCTTTGCAGAATAAACATTAATTTGTCATTGCATTGAGCTCTATTTAAATCATAAACGTACACAGTACTGGGTTTGTAACGTTTCCCATCTGTGCCATCTGCGCCGACCCTTGAGTTCAAACGAGCACCGTGGCTCCGGCGCGATGGGGGAGGGGGGGCCACTCACTTGCGCTCGTTGTAGAGCTCCCCCTCGACGGCGAGAGCCACGTCCAGCGTGGGCTCCAGCGCCTGCATCTCGAAGGCGACGCGGCACAGCTCACGCACGAAGCCCGCCAGCAGCGCAAACTCCACCTCGGGCGGGAAGGAGATGCGCGGATCGGCGTGCAGCTCCCGAATGACGTCCTTGCGGGAGAATGTGGAAGGGCAAAGCGGCCAGAGGAGATTTTAATGGGATGGGCGGGGGGGGGGGGGAATCGCTCTACGCATCTCCAATTTAGCGCGGTTGGCGACGTACGGTGCAAAATAAGTTTATCGTACATGCCAATTGCATTACAAATCATGTATTTTCCAATCACACGACTCGTATGTTTATTATTATTTTTATGGCCAAATATCCTATTGCACTATTTTTTTAATAGAAAAGTGGTAATGGCCGGAAAAAAAACCTTTATTCATATTCACTTGCTTTCTCTCCGAGGAAATTGTTGGGATTGGTTCATTGCCACCATTAGGCTGTGTCACGCTACCCACACCACAGTGATCGGGGAGGTCTTGTGCACACAGATCACAGCAGGCTGAAACTGGAATACAGATGTCTCATTGTAAGACTTTTTAGTCGGTGGTCTCAACGACAAGGACATTCTTACATGTGGCATGGTGACATCGTCTGACATGCGAGGCACAATGAGGGGACACGCTCTATGGTCACGACTGTGCCTTCGCCATCTAGAAGTCGTCTTTCACGCTGTGTTTGAATGCAGCAACGCCTCGCCCACCGTGGATTTGCCCACCACGGCCTTTGCCAGAAACCTAACTCCAGCAGTTGGCGAGGGATTGCTGTACTCTTAAACGAATGATTAGCGGGACAGGATGCGGTCCTCTGAAAACAGGGCCGCAGCCCTGTCACGGTGCACTAGGGGCGGCGGTGGGGATTTGCGAGCCGACGTACGGCCACGCTGCTCTGCACATCGTAGAGGTCCAGGTTGCGGACGATGTAGTCCAGCACGGCTTCCTCCATGCTCTCGGGCCCCGTGTGCGTCGACGCGAGCGCCTTGCGCGTGCGCAATCGCAGCTCGCGGAAGGCGGCCTTGGCTGCGCGGAACGACTCCTGTGGACGGGGGCGGGGGGGGACAAAAAAAAAGATTCCCCGTGCAGCCTTTAACAGACTGTTGGGGCAGACCGTGTTGGCAGGCACGGCGCACGATGGGCTGGTTTGGACAGCGCCTGGCCACCTTTGTCTCCCCCACTGCATCGGATACTCATTAAATAAGTCTTAGTCAACCAACGAGGTGAGGACCAGGGGCGGTTTGACGCCACTGCTGGCCGTGGGAAGGGATCGAACTTGCGTCGCCGGGTTTGTATCGCGATGCGCTAACCACTTTGTCGCTGCTGCCTACGCAATGAAGAGTTTTGTGGAGACGTTTTGATAAGTGAATACAGAATTTGCAAAGTGTGACGGTTACATCGGGAGAGTTGATAGGAATGCACGGAGTTTGTGTTCTCATCTCAAAGCATGCGGGGTTTTGCCTGTGTAAAGTTACCAAACATCTGTTTTCCCAAAACGTACCAGAGCAGGACCGTCTTAAAAATAATTCACGTGATATCTGAAACATCTGACATCACATCAATCATGCAAAAACGGCAAGTGGTACAACTAATGATGATGATGACTGATGACAGTGAGAACTGACGATGGTGGAGATTCATGGTTCAATCTGCGTCACCTATTCCTGTATGTACGTACGTAGCCAATAGTGCTAAGCGGAGGTGCGGGGGAAGGGCGACAAACTTAACACAAAAAGCCGTTCAAGGGAGGAGAGCAGAGGAGGAGGTGGGGGACAGAGCACGGTTCGGCTACCACCAAGGCTAATTGCACATCCGATTTTATCACGGTTGGCCACTTCCGGTGCAACAGAAGTCCAGCACACACGAGACACAGAGCAGCGCACGCACCACGGTGGCGATGAAGATGATGCGCTGCACGGTCTCCACGTCATCGTGGTAACGCAGCAGCAGGCTCTGCGCGTCCAGCCGGTCGCCCGCGTAGATGGAGTTGAATCGGGCCACGAGGCGGGTTTGTCGCGACGCGTTGGTGAGACGCGCGCGCGTCGGCGTGCAGCTGCGAATCGGGGAGCAGCTCCGGATGGGCGAGGAGCAGCGGACCGGCGAGGAGCAGCGGATGGGGGACGCGCTGCGGCGAGGCGAAGGGCTGCGGCCGCGGCACGGCGTCGAGAGCCATCCCCTGAAGTGGCGGCGACAACAAAGGGTGGGCACAAAAGGGTGGTTTCTGGTTTTTTTGGTGATGTTCACATTTTGTTGCGTTCCTACTGAGGTTAAAAAAATGCATGCGTGAACTAGTTTTGTCCGTTCGTTAGCTTCTTTGCTAACTAAGGGCACTATGATGCTCATGTAGATGATCTAGTGTGAACCAAACTGTTGCTTTTAGTGACTTACCCATTTGAAAACCACCCATATTGATTAAAGGTTTGCCCAAAAACTTGAAGCCAAGATCCAGAGTAAACAGGACTATTTGAAAAAAAATACAATCCCATTTGTCTCTAACAGCTAACCACTATGAAATACTTCCAAGGACAGCCCCATTTCATAAAGCATTACGTAATCCATACATTTTCTAATTCGCTGCAAATGGAATTTCTATTTTGTGTGAATTTCATCTCATTGCATTTTTTTTTTGTTGCTTGGGTCAGAACACGCGAGGACATTTGAAGGCGCTGTCTGACCCGGTGGACGCGGCCTGTCACTCATTCGGTGTCGATAAAGCGAGGGGCGCCGTACGAGAATAACACCACCAATGGTTGCTCCTTTTGGGCAGAATTTTACCCCACAATGGCAAGACGGAATGTCCACCACCGAGGGTGATTAATGGCGCCCCATTGCTCGTTATCTCGCAGGGAGACAATTTTACTTTGGTCATGACATTTATTATTTTGATGCAGCTTTTTTTTTTTAAACTAGGCTATGCACGTGAACTGTCACACTTAGTCCACCCAAGACTCCCACGTGCCTTTCTTGCCTCCATCAACATTCGGTTATCACACCCCCACGTCATTTTTTAAAAGGATTATGGGTTCAACGCATTGACCCAAAGTGATAGGGAATTGCTGGGAAGCAGCTGGTGTTCAGCACTGAACGATAGCGAACACCTGGAGCTCTACAACTGTGAATCAACGGGCAGCTTTGCACTTTGTACCAAAGTGTAAAAACGTTTTGTTTTAATCTGACACCTGTGCAACCAGGTAAGGGTGCAGCCCTGCAATTGCTTTCTCACACCTCTTCTAGTGGAAAGGCCTCCACTAGAGTGCACTCTCGACATCTACTCGAGAGGGTTTGTTCTAGGGGTATTTTAGCCTTCTCTTCCTTACCACACAGCTCGCTGGTAATAGCGAGCTGGTAATAGCGAGCTGTGTGGTAAGTTTCAAAGCGATTGGTTTCGAGGTTTTAGATGTGTCAAAAGTCTGTTCAGATCTCCAGACTTAACAGAAATAAGTGGCCTATCAGATCCCTTTAAAAAGGACGAATGGACAATGATGTCTAATTAATCTGTATTCATGTCCAAGTATGTGAAGTGCATTGGGACGAACAGATAAATGTACATTTCCCAGCCAGGCATAGCAATCTGTCATTGTGCTTCTCCTTAGCTCTGTCTTGCCAATCCCCACTCATGTCCAGCCACTGCATGTTCACATGTGGGGAGAACAAGTGCTAATTGAATCAACATTTTTAATGTAAGGTCATAGTCTCGGTTTTAGTCAACAAGAACCTGTGGCTTTTTAGTCAAGTTTTAGTCTGTGGATGTCATCTTTTCATTATCTTCGTCTCCTTCACTAAAGCAGTCAAATATTTAGTCCACTCTTAGTTATATGTTGGTCAGATCAACCATTCAGTGAACGCAGTGATTTTTAAAAATGTTTTTTTCTGAATGCGCTGATTACGAAATGTCTTTATTTAGACTAGTTTATTCCGTCTCATCGTATTTCGCTTCGGTCTCTTTTGGGCGTGGCAATCATCGTCATGCTTGACGGTTTTCGTCCACTCAGTTATTGTTGATTGGAAGAAAAAGACACGCTTCGGTGACAAAATATTTTCTCAAATCATTTCGTGAACATGACCGACAGTGGGGGCAGAGCGTGAGGAGCCAGAGAGAGAGAGAAGGGGGAGCGCGATGGACGCAGCGCGCTGCACGTACGACATGCGCTCCAGCAGGCGAGCCTTCTCCTGCTGCAGCGTCGCCATCTCGGCCTGCAGGTACCGCGCCTGCCTCTCGCTGTCCTCGCGCTCGCGACGGTTCAACTCGGCCTCCTCGCGCGCCGCTTGCAGGCTGACGCACGCACGCACACACACACGCACACACACACATGCACCCACGCGCACGCACACACGTCCATGGTAAATTAGGGGTGTGGTTACACTTTGGATATTGGGGTTGTCCTCCGAGCAAATGTTTCCAAGGGATTATTGCCTAGAGATGCAGTGACCCATAATTTGCTAATTGTATAATTAAATACTGGTGCCACGCTTATACGTAGTACTGACAAACTTTAACTACCATATCATGTTCATATTAAATCTATTCAACCACTGGTTACTGACTCAGTACTGAGCCTCCTGTGTGTGCCCTCCTCCGTGTTCATTGGTTCCATCATCTGCATAATCAGGATTTTATCTCCTTGTTGAAAGGAGAAAAACGTGAACTCAAAGGTACCCCGATTTTTGTCAAAGATATATCGCGAGTTTATCTTGGCCATCGCTAAAAATGCCGGGGGTATCCAGATACCCATGATACCCAGCATATATTTTTCTGTCGGAAAGCCTGGACCTGTGCATGTGTTAACAGTGGATGTGATTGAGAGTTCAGTGTTTTGAGTGAGCATTTGGTACAGACGAAGCCTCCAGTAACCAACAGAGCCGCATTTTCCCATCCGTCAGTGTGAGCCGAGAGGCCCTTACTCGGCCCTCAGCTGAAGGATCTCCTCCTCAGAAGCCAGGAGGGTGGTAGCCGACTTGGTCTTTGCATCTTCGAGGTCATAGGTCGTCTCTTGCAACCTAGAGGAAATCGAGCGATGCTTCTGTCAAAAGGTGAATGATTTAATTTGCCATGCAACTTGATTCTCTTCTTTTTCAGTTACGACTCCACAATGTCACGTTTATATTTGTTTTACCAACTTTGTTAGCCGTGTGCCGAATTCTTGATATGTCGATTCGTGTCGATTCTTAAAGAATCACGATATGGGCATTGAATAACAGGTATAATAAATGATGTTTGTTTAATTCGTGACAATTTTACGGCATGTATGTGCCCATGCTAAAGGTACATTGTGCATTAAACTCATTTGGACAAATTTTACGGTAAAACACAGTTGACGAATATTTGTCTATTTAATGAATTGTATTTACATTTACATGGCATCTACCATAAAACCTGAATGCATTTTAATTGTTTTACATATAGGCGACAACCAGTGTAATACATGCCTAAATAAGGGCAATAACACTCAAACGTCCACACAGATAGATTCACAAACCCACTCACTGCCCTGCTGTGTTTTTGGCCATATTACAGCCCCCCGTGGGTTTTGAGAGGTTTTTTTTTAACCTGTGTGTGATCTACCAACCAGTGTTGTTATTTTTTTGAACAAAGTTAGTGACGAAAATATTCGTAAACAGTGTTTATTTTTTAGTTCAACGATTGACCGAGTGGACGAAAATCATCATAGAGACGGAAGCTAAAAAGTGATTTTGTAATGTTATTAGAGATAGCAACGCTATATTCACTCATGACCGATTGACTTGTGATTATTAACCCTTTCCAATGACAGACGTGTACGGACGGAAGAAAAAATAAAATAACTTTATCGGTATGTTAGGTCGGAAGATGTACCGGGCTCTCACAAATGCGGCACAGTTTGGCGCCAGCTACCATAGAGTGCGGTTGTGTCACTACAGTTCTCTGAAGTTCTCTGCGGTGAGTACAGTGTCTTTAAAACCAACGGTGCTACGCCTCTCTAAATAAAACTAACGCTGAGCCGCTTGCTCGTTTCGAGATTCAGCGGTGAACGGGACCCCCCCCACCCTACAACTTGCAGACGTCTCGGAACGGGAAAGGGTTAACACTGCCGCCAACCCTTGCGTACAAAGCACGGGATCACGGTGCATGCGCCACCACGCCCCGGATGGCACAAAGCGGAAGCTCACCGGTGCTTGGCGTTGCTCAGCGCCTGGTGCGTGGACTGCAGCTCCGACTCCAGTGACCCGACCTCCCGCATGTGACGCGTGCTCAGGTCTTGCAGCTGTCGCTCCTTCTCTGCTGCCTCCTGAGCATGAGACACCCGCCGGTGGTTAGAGTCGGTGGCGAGATGTTAACTCCCTCGCCCGGTATGCAGGAGGTCGTGGGTCCGATCCTGACCCGGACGCCTGGTGTATATTTGTAGTTTATATTTTCTGCTCATGGTCGCGTGGATTTTTCTCCGAGTCCACTGGTTTTTTTCCCTCCACATTTATAGGCAAGTGTTTAGAGTGTTTGGCTGTGATAAAATTTGCACGTGATAAGCCACTTCACTGAGCTATAATTTGTGGCCAGGTCGCTTCTGAAAGAGAGCTACATAGCTCAGTGCACCTTACCTGGTAAAATGAAAAAAGAGTTTCAAATAGTAAAAATGTAATTGTTCGAACATATTGTAATCACGCCATTCTTATAGCATGCTGCTGTCCTGAAGGCGCGAAGTTTTGATAGGTGGGGAGGCAGCAAGCCCTGGAGATTTGCCGAGTTATGATGCGTCAATTCATAACATGAATTGTGCGTATACGAATCAACTGTTTACAATATATGCAAATTGTATGCAAATATAACTAATGTTAGGCTAATGCTGCGAGTGCTGGACAAACGAGGCAGAATTTGAAATTACGAACAAGATGGTGAAAAGGAAACAATAATTTTATAATTGAATCAAATAATGACCCCAAAACGTGGCGTGGCATTGTCATGATGACCCATGTGACCTCATCCACCCAATCACAGTGATATTGCATTTGCAACAATTTCTAAAGTATTTCAAACAAAGTTGCAAACCCACATGAAACTTGTTACCCCAGTAATTCAGCCCGTGTTGAAGGAAACTACATGGCCCACAACGCCACGCTTAGTAAACATACGGCAGGATGATTGCACCATATTTACCCTCCCCTGCCATTCATCCTCTATCCTTGGCTCATTCACAATCACCCCCAGCTGTGTTCAAGGCTGTGTGCTGTCGGCAGCTGACAGGGCCCGTTACCCGGATGAGGGTGAGGCTTGTGTCGGGCGACACACACGGGGAGACGGTGAAGCTGCTGCTCAGCCACGGCAGGAAGCGGGACTTGATGGTCTCCGCACCAGCTGTGGGCCCACCTAGGGGAGAGATCCACGCAGCACGGTCACGAATATTCCGTGTTGACGTCTTGGCAGCCCTGTAGCATTGGGGGAGGGGGGGGGCTTATACCCCAGGCTGAAATCTAAACAATGACCCCCCCCCCTTCTTGAATTCTAATAGTCAAGTATGAAGTGGTTGGCCTAAGAGAGAGAGGCTCAATGTTGTCTCCACACTGTTCTGCATGGAAGTGGGATCACCACAAGCTAGGATCCAACATGCTGTGCGACTGGTCTGCTGGCAATGTATATGTTGTGTGCACTATGGACACGGCGTGTGTGGCTGGCTAACCATTGATAAGTTCTGCCGATGTACAGACAATGGTGCATGCGCTGACGACTTTGCCATGTCTGTTCCTCTCACCACAGTTCATCTTACTATTGTCACCAAATCTAAACTTGCACCGTCGATTGAATAAAGAAACATCGAGCAAAGACAAGGGTGAATAGTGTAATTTAAAAAAATCCATGGTTTACATCAATAAGTGAATTATGGCCGGGATATCTTCATTTATATATGCCGACGTGGGTGCTCGCTATGGCAGAGGGCGGTGGCTGCGTGCTCGTTGGCCGCATTGCCACTGGCTCGCTGGACTCTTGAGTAACGTACCCCTGTTGGCCGTGCTGCTCATGATGTTAAACAGCTGGTTTTGCACCTTCGAAGTCATCTCGATGAGCTCACAGCAGCGGCTCAGGTTCTCGTTGCAGGTGTTCAGCTGCACGCACAGCGCACACACACAGCGCATCGGGCACGCCGGGTCACATCATTGGGCACGGCACGCCAGGTCATCCTGCTGCGCGAACGCCGCTCGCTGCTCGGCACCAAGTCGCACAAAACGCTTGCTCTGGTTTTATTCCGAGGTGTAAGTCAGCAAGGGTGTGACGGGGCCGCTAGGCAACCGGGCATTTGCTCGGCGAGCCAGATCTGGAGTTGAGCACGGCTTGTCTTAAACCTTCGGTTACAATTGTCCGTTGGCGAATTGAAGTCGCGTGGAGTAAAAACTGGCTGAACGCCCGGAAGGGCTTAGCAAGCACATGCCCAGTTCACTGGAGCTCCAGTCCAAGATGTCAGTCAGTGAAATGTGTTTTGCATTTAGACAACCCTGTGTGGGTATTTGCCATATATGCAGTAAATGTAACCAAACACACACCACGTCTCTCATTGACACTGCCTGATAACGTAAATTTGTTATCATATTCTGCTCGGCTCCTTTCACAGCTCCAGGCATGCGGCATCCTCATGCCTAGGCACCACGGTGGAGAGGGAGCAAGCAGCCGCCACTTTAAAAACACTCCAAAAACTGGCAACGACCTTCGAACTTAAATTTGCAATTAGCAACGTGCCCATGAAGTGGAAACGCTAGGTTATTTATTTACTTATTTTTGTAGCGGCTTGGCGATGAGTGGATGGTTTGGGTATAGTTTGTGCTGGACAGGTTCCCGTTTAGTGTTTTTGTGGTTGGTGGGCAGTGAAGGTGGGTTGGTGATGTGTAGGTAGCTAGGTTGTTATGTTTGACGGTGGATGGGTTGGTAGTGGATTCTTGAGATTACTGTTGGTGAGTAGGTCGATTGTTGTTGCTGGTGATGGTGGTACGTTGTTGTTGCTTGGCGGAGAGGTGGTGTGTACTGGTTAGTGGATGGCTAGGTGTGTACGTTTAGTCTTTCGTGGGTGGGAAAGTGGGTTGATGGATATCTTGATTTGTATCTTGATTTGAAGATTTCGTGACTGCATGAATCCATACTCTTTGGTTCTTTCGGTAAAGTCACGTAAGTAGAAAAATGATAGATCACCACTCTAGTTTGGTGGGATACTGTTTGGTTTGGTAGGTGGGTGGGTTGATGATGGGTGAGTGGTTTGGTGGCTGGCTGATGGTGGGTTGGAGGTACTGTGTTTGGTGGGTGGGTGGGTTGATGGATGTTGTTAGTTTGTAGCTTGATGGCATATTGCTTGGTTGGTGGGTGGGTCGATGATGTGTGAGTGTGTTGGTTTGGTGGCTGGCTGAGAGGGGGGGGGTTGTGGCGCTGTGTGTACAACATCGTCTATCAGGGCTATGGGTCGAGAGTTCAGCATTCCCGCTTGTTGGGACACGTCTGCACTCTGCACACACGCACACACACACAGGCACACACGCACACACGCACATACACGCACACACGCACATACACACACGCGCACACACATACACACACACACGCACGCACACACACGCACGCACACACACGCACACACACACGCATGCACACACACGCACGCACACACGCAAGCACACACGCACACACACACGCACACACATACACGCACACACATACACACATACACACACGTACATACACACACGTACATACACACACACACGGGCTGGTTGGCTGGGAGGGGAAGGCGGCCGATCCCGCGTGTCCGCACCAGCGCCCCGTGCTGCGGAATGTTTTTATTCTTTTCCTTGCCGACTCTGCCAGTAGCTCGGGGCAACTAGCGTCCGTAGTGACTGTTGCCGTTGCAACAGGCGGCCACATCCTTTAAAGTGTAAATAAAGGTGGCCTTTATATAAAAAAGCAATGCATCGCTGCATTTTCTTTAATCGCTTCCTGGCGCTGTTGCCACGGGTTCACGGATCAAACTTCGTGGAATCCCAGCCGCGTTCGTGTCCCTCCTGGGAAACCAACTTGAGTTCGTCGCACTGACGACAAACAAGTTAGCCAACACCTCAACTTGTCCATCGAGATCAATCGCCGTCAATTCGATTACAATTGTACATTTTAAATCTATACTCGAGAGAGCTCCGTCAATGGTTTAAAGATGTTGATGATGCTAAAGTGTATCCTGTTTGGAATGTATTGGATATTTCTACTTGTGTGCGGAATTTCAAACGCCGGGGGAAACACATTAATCCCAAATGCACATTACTTTTTAAACGTAGGTCTGGGCTCATTTAGGATAAGGTGTGTAGTTTATGGAGATGTAGCCGTAACATTTTAGGAAATTATTAGAAGATGATACAATCAACAGGAGTTATGAAAATATACATTGGAGCGAAATAACATGCCTTGAAATTGTTATCGATAATTTTACATGACATGTTCACGCGATAATGTTTCAGTAAACGAGTCATGATGCTTTATCAACCCTTGTCACTACTTTAGAATGGTATATGTTTCCTACAGAGGACTGCAATTCCCAAGTCATCAATTGAACAACAGTGTATATGTAAAAAAACCGTAATGCCAGGCTCGAGTTGTAGTGTTTTGTGGATTCATAGTGCAAACAAACAATACGTGATATAACCCTGCAAAGACTTTGTGGCTAGCAGGTTTTACACGGTCCTATTAGAATTTACTTCGGGCTGTAAAAATAATTGAATGATATTCATAGGCTATTTGCGGGCTCACAGACAGTGAAGTGTGCACTCGGAACATCGAATATAATTACACATCTCTTACCCATACACGTAAAACACCACGATACGTAACACATAAAGTACAATCTTTGAGAAACTATACTGTGGATCTTCACCAATGATCAGCGTGCGTTAAGTTGGGCCACTGTTAGAAACGTCACCGTGTATTTATGCTCACATTTTATTTCTACCAACTTTATATTTATACACACACTTTATATTTATACGCACTTTATATTTATACACACACTTTATATTTATACAAGCTTTATATTTATACTCACTTTATTTATACACGCTTTATACACACACTTTATATTTAAACACACACTTTATATTAATACACACTTTATTTATACACACACTTTATATTTACACACACACTTTATATTTATACACACTTTATATTTACACACGCACTTTATTTATACACACACTTTATATTTATACACACACTTTATATTTATACACACACTTTATATTCATACACTTTATATTTATACACACACACACTTTATATTTATACACACACTTTATATTTATACACACACACTTTATATGTATATGCAAACTTTACATTTGAAGGAAAACAAACCACCACTGTGCAGTGGCGATATACGCAACTTGACAATGCAACTTACAGCTGTCACTACAACAGCGTTGTATATCAAGTCACGTTTATTTTGTTTAGCAGGAGGGAAAGTCGAGATAGACCAGGATAATCTCATTTGCAAGAAATTTAGACTCGACTTTTGCCATATAAAAGGCATATATATTCCTTATACAATCAATCACTGCATACATTTGGCTGGTATTGAGTGCGTCAAAAATCGTCATACTCATAACTGCTATGGAGGCACAGTCTTTAAAAATATGGACCCATAGAAGTCATGAGCTGAGAGGGACTTCTCATCCATCGCATGCATGCAGTATATACGTGCGTGTGTGTATATATATAGACACCAAGCCAATACTCTTAAGAGCTCACGTGGAAGTCGTCTTGCCAGGAGTCCAGCCTGTCCTGCAGGGCTCCGTACGCACCGCTGTTGGCGAGGCGCCGCAGTGACTCCGCCATGGCTCGCGTGCTCGTGGTGCTGCCCGCGACTGTGACGGGGATCGCCCTCTACTCCGGCTTTTCTGCTCTTCCAAACCCAAGGCGGCGGGGGGGGGGGGGCGGAGAGAGGGGGGGTGGCCTGAGAGAGGGAGGGAGGGTGGCCTGAGAGAGAGGGGGTGGCCGGAACGTCCTGCCGTGGCCCCCACACGGCCCACCCCGCCCTCGGGACGGGACGGACCCCCCCCCCCTCTCCACCCAAGCCGCTCGACTCTTCCCCACGTTGTGAATAGTCGCGGGTCCCCACCCCCGCCACCTCCACCTGTGAAGGAGCCGCGTGGCGCTGCCCCAGTGCAGGTTGGTGATTCGCGCACGTGGTTTGGTGTTTTGGAGGCGCTGAGGAGGTGTTTGGGGTGCTAGGGTGTCACAGTACCTTGGTTGCCAACGTAGACGTTATTGTACTTAGGCGATGTAATGGTAAGTTAAGCCAATGTCTGTTTATTCAATTAGCACTGCTTTTCTGCTGTAGGGGAACATACTCAATATTGTTTCCAAGTATATATTTCTTTATTTTGCAGTTCGTACTATAGATTGAATAAATACAATATTTTTGGTCCAATGAACAGCAGTAAATAGAAGAAAAAACAGATTTGGAAATCAAATAATTGTGTGTCTCTGTGTACGTGTACTTCGTGTGTGTGTTTATATGTACATGTGTGAAAGGAGTGATTTTTATAATTTTCAGTGGTGGGGATAATTATAATATATGCTCTCACCGACTCACGCTAACCAGCGTGAGTCGGTGAGTATAGTCAAACAAACCCCCAAGGACAACATGATGTGTAGAGGCCTCTTCTTTGGTTCTTTCGGTAAAGTCACCACGTAGAATGAGAATAAAATAATAAATTGATAAAATAAAATAACACAATAATATTCTCACGACGTTTCGGCCACAACACAAGCGGCCTTCATCAGGTGAAGGGGACGAGACTGTCTGGAGGACAGCACTGTTATTTTATTATTTTATTTTATCAATTTATTATTTTATTCTCATTCTACGTGACTTTACCGAAAGAACCAAAGAAGGTGTAGAGACCTGTATCAATTAACAGATTGGCAAATAAACTGAAAATATAGCAGTTGAACACATGACATGTATTGTTGCGTTAGACGTGTATCGGCACGTTCAAATTAAATACTGCAATGCATTTTATCTTGGGAAGCTTCACTTAGTTCCAAGTTGTTTTTTCTTTCTGGAGGGCCCTACTACACTGAGATGTTTGGCCAAATTCCATTAATGAGTGTTTGGCTTCTTGTAGCAGGAAACCGTAAAACCTGGAGTAAAACCCACCACCAATAAGAGGGGGTGACACGTAACATTTGCCATTTAAGATTTGATAATCCACCACTGCTGTGCTTTCATCTCCTGGCTACATCGCAGCCAACCCGAACCCCACAGCGTCTGGTGTCCCCAAAGCAGTTTTCCAAGTACCAAACTAACCAGGTTCAACCCAGCCATTGGCAATTAAAATTATGTTATCGAGGCGGGGATAAATGTTATCCCCTGACCGGGATGAGGACTGAAAGCACATTTCAGGGAGTGAAAAAAAAATCAGTTGGGGAAACTCTCCCATCAAATCGCATGCTGCATGCGTGTTGATCTTTGTGTCTTAGGGTATATAAACTGTGTATATGTGCTGGTATGTGTATGTAACGTTGTGTACACGTGCGAGTGTGTCTATGTAAGTAAGTGCTTGCTAAGAGCACTTGCCCCAAGGGTAAACGGGGCCAGCACAGCACAGAGGCTCCCTATGAGCGTGCGTGTGTGTGTACATGACTTAAAACAGATTGTGTGTAATGCGTGCGCTTTATGTTAAGTATGTGTGTTGCTCTCCGTGTGTGTAAGTGTGCATGCGATAGTGGGGAGCGATAGTGTAGCGGTTAGCGCGCTGCGCTACGAACCCAGCCACACGGGTTCAATTCCTGCTCACGGCCAACACCAGTGACGATTATCTAAACCGGTCTCAGGCCTCCCCTAGGTCGACTCAGCATCAAATGAGTACCTGGTGCGATGTGTAAACATTGCCAACATTCTGTCCAGGCTATACGGGGGATCTTTGTCTTAGGTGCTCGCTAACAGTACTTGCCCCTACAGTCTGTTAAGGCTATATGTGGGATCTTTGTCTTTGTGCGATAATGTGTGTGCACGCGTGTGCTTTTGTTTGCGTGTGTGTTGGGATGTCATAATCCACGTGCGAGCGTGTCATGGTGATGTGCGACGCTACGCATGCGCACAACGGTGGGTGAGGGCAAACAAATCAATGGGGTCGTGCGCTCACAATAGCCACCCCCGGGGGAGCTTCCGCAGATTTCTATTTGAGAGGGCTTTGTTGAGACTTGATGGTTGTTGGGAATTCCATTGCATGTCCGGTCACACTCTTGCACACGCAACCGTGTGTAAGCAACGCAGTTATAAATACAAGTGCTCGGGTAACCACGGCATATGTGGCTTTGATTTCCACACTGGTGGTAAGTGATTTAATTAATTGGGTATTCTCACAGTATTCATGTGATCATACTCTTGAAGGGCATCTGCTAGAAGGGGCTTTCTCGAGCTCCCTTTAGTGGAGAGCCTTCCACCATCAGTGGCGTGAATAAGAAATTGCAGGGCTGCATCTTTATCTTGTTTTTTTAAGTTGTGATGGTGATATTATTACAGAGATTACTTACGTGTTAATATTAAAAGTATCTACCGCCCCCCATGGGCGAGTATGCACAGTCACTAAATTAAATTGCTAGGGCGCGTTCTCATTACATTAACAGTTGCAATATCCTTGTATGTCTCGGGGAGAAACGGAAGATATTACTACAACGGCTCGTTTATTACTCATACCGTATCCATTGACCATGCGGCCTATATAATTTCCAATCGGAGTATATTAAATAATTGTAATGTGTCTCGTGTATCTGGGTACTCTCGTGTTATTTTTAAAAATACAAAAATACGGAAAAAATACAGTCTTGAGACATTGAGACTTTCCTAAAGAAAATAAGAATACGATTATGGGTGTTGCGCTAAGCGGTGGCACTAGGAATAAGCAAACCATGCAAACGCTCAGGGTCTCGAGAAGGAACCCTGGATTCAAGAAAAAATTGTGCATCCAATATCAGCTTAAATTGAATTCCTAATAAAGATAACACACCGATTAAAATAAAGCCAATTAACCTTGCTCATCACTTTATTATCTGCATTTCTCTTTAATCACCACGTTTCTATGAATGTCAATATTTATTTAATCTGACTCCAGCTATAAATCTTGTCTGTATCTCGCCATCTCACTTGGGCTTTATAAATTGAAAGAGGGGCCAGAAAACACAATTTCTGCTTAGGGCCCCCAATGGATGAGTTCCACCACTGGTTGCGCTCTCACTTCACACTTGTAAATATCTTGTAAATCACCAAATCTCCTTTACCGAAGTTCTGACCATGTTTTTAAGGAGGCCATCCTGATCCAGACAGATGAGTCTTTGGAGACCTCGGTCATAAATTGTAAATTTGCATTTGGCCATGGCAGGAGTGGTGGACAATGACGCCTGCCTGCCCTTGAGGTGCACAATGGCGATGAGTGGTTCTTTCATTGGTGGGGGGTCTTCTTTGGAAGGAATGTGGCTTAAAACGGTGCAATATACTTTAAACAAGCCCTATTAAAATGCAAGATGCACAGCAGTTACTTCCAAAAATAGTGCGTCTGTGGTATGCTGGGATAGTCAATCGTTTTTTAAGAACATAAGAATGATTTTTTTTTTAAATTGGATCTAGCATTGTTTAATTAACTTGACATACTATAGATACATTCCAGTCAACTTGTTTATCAAACTATTGTTGCTGAATCAAATATAATATTCAGATGAGTGAAACACCCTGATTTATGCATTAAAAACTGGAGTTTATAAAAAAAAATCCTGCAATTTTTTTTACCTCAACCTCTACATTTCTAAATTCTAGGTCATGGGCCAGCCTTTCATCCCTCTGTGGTACAATGAGAGGTCAACAGGGGTTATCCTATGGAAAACTGGCACAACGCTAAATTAATGTGGAATTTCCACCACTGGCCTAGGGTTGTGAATGTAAATGATCATTGCCACAATACTGATGCGGGCAAGGATACTCTTGAAATTTGACGATTGCTCTACCAAAACCTTTTATACATTTATATTTATGTCAGGTCACTGGGGCATGATGATGAGGATCATTAAAGTATGATTGTCAAAATAGTGTTTTTGGCATTATAATCACAATTGAAAATCGGTTTGCAAAGATGGCCTCCGGATAAATAAGAGTAAAACAACGGCGAGGTATGACCAGCTCCCTAAATAACTGTGGACATATTTTGATTTAGCTCTTTCGGTAAAGTCACGTTGAAGGGAAACAATAAAATAATAAAATATGTATAAAGCAATAAAAATTCTCACGACGTTTCGACCATAACACAAACGGTCGTCATCAGGTGTGGCGGTTTGCATACATTTATTTATTTTTAAACGGTGTATTTATTTATTTATTACAAAAACGACAGCGCCAACGCGCAGCGATTTGGCAGTTTATTTAGAAGGACGAGTCCATCTATGTTCTGAAAAGAGGAGGGGGGAGACGAAAAATTAATGTATGCTGTCTGAAAGCCACTGTAAGCGTGAACAATCAATTAAGACCTGAAATTGTTTATCAAATCTTTCCAATGATTGCTAAGCCAGAATCCATCTTCTCGGTTGAAATTGTCTCTGTGCTTGTATATGTGGATAGCCTCATGAACGAATCTCTCATGGTCGCCAGATGGCTTACAAAGAACCTCTGTCTTGGAAAAGTCAATGTCATGTGAGCCTACTGAATTATAACAATGATCTGCCACGGCCGAGGTGGCCACATGGCCGGCCTGCTCTAGACCAATTCCTTGACCACATCAATTCCATACACCCAGCCATCAGATTTACCATGGAAGTCGAAAAAGATGGCAAGCTACCTTTTTGGATGTCCTAATTAAAACGAGACCTGATGGTTCAATGAGCCACTCTGTCTACAGGAAAGCAACCCATACGGATGCTTATCTGAAACCGGATTCCCACCACCATCCATCACAGAAGAATTCTCTCATCAAGACTCTGTATCATAGAGCCCAATGCATATCCGACCAGGAACACATAGGCAGTGAACTCAAGCACGTACACCAAGCTCTTAAGGCTAATGGTTACTCCGACTATACAATCCGCAAAGCTATCACTCAAACCATGAAGAAGGACCCTCTTGAGGAGCCTTTCAAAACCATCACTTTACCCTACATTGCGGGGATCACAAAAACGATCTCCAAAATCTTGAATAAACACAAGATCCAGGTCCGTTTCAACACATTACATAAAATCCGTGATCTGGTTCCGTCTGTAAAAGATGTGATTCCGGACATACAGTACCCTGGTGTCTACAAACTAAGTTGCCTCTGTGGTAGTAGTTACATTGGAGAAACCAAACGCCATGTCTCGGACCGCATTCGTGAACACAAAGCAGACCTTAAACACGGTAGGACCAACACCTCGGCCGTGGCAGATCATTGTTATAATTCAGTAGGCTCACATGACATTGACTTTTCCAAGACAGAGGTTCTTTGTAAGCCATCTGGCTACCATGAGAGATTCGTTCATGAGGCTATCCACATATACAAGCACAGAGACAATTTCAACCGAGAAGATGGATTCTGGCTTAGCAATCATTGGAAAGATTTGATAAACCATTTCAGGTCTTAATTGATTGTTCACGCTTATAGTGGCTTTCAGACAGCATACATTAATTTTTCGTCTCCCCCCTCCTCTTTTCAGAACATAGATGGACTAGTCCTTCTAAATAAACTGCCAAATCGCTGCGCGTTGGCGCTGTCGTTTTTTATTATAAATAAATAAATACACCGTTTAAAAATAAATACATTTATGCAAACCGACACACCTGATGACGACCGTTTCTGTTATGGTCGAAACGTCGTGAGAATTTTTATATTTTTATATATATTTTATTATTTTATTGTTACCCTTCAACGTGACTTTACCGAAAGAGCTAAGAATATGAACTGTGGATATCTGTTGAAAGTCGACTGGAAAACACATCACTGTATATTTCCAATAAACATGCAACATTTGGGGCCAACGTGAGCATGTGGTTGGAACCGTTGGACCAACGGTGAGCCCGACGTTCCATGTTTACTGGGTAGCTAGGACAGCTGTTGAAAGAGTACACGGGATTTGAATGATTAAATGAAGGCAGACAATAAGGGGGTTCTGTTAGAAAACTGAACTTGATCATGAACGGCACCACGCCAATGTTTAACCCCTTCATAACGTGTACACGCAGGATATCTACATCCCGCTTTGACACTTAATTCCGCAACATGGAAATTAACGAAGGACATCTAATGCAAGCTGAAAAGTGCGCGAATAAGCAAAGAGAGATGCATACATGGAAATACAATGAGAGACGAAAAGCGAACCTGTCAATCCATTATCAGTGCCTAACTTATTACAGACCAATTCAGACCTTATTGGTCACCCCGTGCCCCTCATAAATCTCAACGTTGATCCTACAAAGTCCCATCACAAAGGAGAAATACAAACAAATAACACAATTGTTTCTGTTTTAAACCATTTCGGTTCTTAATTGATTGTATTTTACGGTGACCTTCAGACCGCAACCCTTTTGCTGGCATTGCCTCTTAATACTTCTCACACCACATACAGATGCTTACTTGAAACCGGATTCCCACCACCATCCATCCCAGAAGAACTCCCCCATCAAGACTCTATACCATAGAGCCCAATGCATTTCCGACCAGGAACACATTGCCAGTGAACTCAAGCACATACACCAGGCTCTCAGGGCTAATGGTTACTCCGACTACACAATCCGAAAAGCCATCACTCCAGTCATGAAGAAGGATCCTCTTGAGGAGACACTCAAAACCATCACCTTACCCTACATTGCAGGGGTCACTAAAAATATCTCTAAAAGCCTGAATAAACACAAGATCCAGGTCCGATTCAACACAGTACATAAAATCCGTGATCTGGTTCCATCTGTAAAAGATGCTGTTCCAGACATACAGTACCCAGGCGTTTACAAACTAAAGTGCCTCTGTGGTAGCAACTACATTGGAGAAACCAAACGACATATCTCGGACCGCATCCGCGAACATAAAGCAGACTTGAAACACGGTAGGATGAACTCTTCTGCCGTGGCAGATCACTGTTATAATTCAGTGGGTTCACATGACATTGACTTCTCCAAGACGGAATTTCTTTGCAAGCCAACCGGCTACCATGAGAGATTCGTTCATGAGGCCATCCACATATACAAGCACAGAGACAATTTCAACCGAGAAGATGGATTCTGGCTTAGTAACCATTGGAAAGATGTTTTAAACCATTTCTGTTCTTAATTAATTGTATTTTACGGTGACCGTCAGACCGCAGCTCTTTCGCTGGCATTGCCTCTTAATACCTCTCACACCACGGTTAATGGTATGGTTTATAACATGGAGTATAACAGCGCATTGTGGCTGTTTCTCTCTTCCCCCTCCTCCGTTCCGAGCATGGATTGACTCGTCCGTCTGAACGTCGCTGTCCGTGGTGCTGGCGTTGAGGGGAAGAAAAAACCGCCATTTTTCGCCATATGGCATTGTGATATATAACGACTTATTGTTGGTGGCTCAGCTGATTGGAGAGTATATAGAGTTTATTGATAACATTGAGGTAGCTTATATTTGAGTTTTTTATTCGTTTACTATATGGTATTCATTATATAGTGTAGTGTATACCCAGTTGCTTTGTGATTAATAGCTCAGCTTATTGAAGAATATATTAAGTAAATTTATTATATTGATGTAATATATACAGTTTTTTCACATCGGTTTACTGTATGATAGTTGGGTAGTTGGAGGCCTTTAGCGCCCATATACTAAATGCCTCTGTTGATATGTAAACTTTGACTTTAACACAGCTATTTCTGTCACAAGCTAATCCCTCAGCTATTTCAATGCTAAATTATCCTGCTTTGATATGTAAACTCCTTTGTCAAGGCGCTTCACGCCTCTCACCGAGCTTAAAAGACGCTACGAATCTTAGCAGCGCTCATTGAAGCACTGTCGTCCCGACAGTTCTGTTCTTTCACCTGAAGAAGGCTACTTGTGTTGTGGCCAAAACGTCGTGAGAATTTTATTGTCTTATTTTATTGTATTATTTTATTCTCATTCTACGTGACTTTACCGAAAGAACCAAAGAAGATGAATCCTTGCAGTCACGAAAGCTTTAAATCGAAATCATAGGAACTGTGACTGAACTTTCACAATGAACGACATAAACAACATGTACCACCAAACCCTGCAGCCATAGCTGGCTACATGAGTCACTCCAAAACAGCAGGAGCATCAGTCTGAGTATCAAACAATTCAATGCACCTCTAAGATCAGCACACTAAATCAAAACATCAAAACACAGATCATACTTTGCAGCGGTCATCCGTAGCGAAACGTTTTATTTTATTTTATACATTTATTTTATAAATAAATGTATAAAATAAATAAATGTGACGTCACATTTCTCAACCCCCCCCCCCCTCGTCATACATCGTCAGAAAAATCTGACCCCCCCCCCCAGGTGCGTGACGTCATTTATGGACGGTGCCTAAGAGGGAGTTAACTGGACACGTGCTGCTGGGCTAAGAGCAGGGGCGGAGCCACAGCGGGGGTTGAAATTTTGGGAAAATCGGTCAGCCCTGCAGGCTGCTTGAGCGGCAGCCTTTTGAACTTATCGAACTTATTAGACACATCAGCGGCTCCGACCTATTAATAAACTCCGCGTTCAAATCCAATAAATGTGTTTTATACATTTGTGGCGCCCATTGGAAAACATTCACTGGATATCTCAGAAAATTGAAGTCAGCCCCCCCAAAGTCAAAATCCTGGCTCCGCCCCTGGCTAAGAGGGGGTTAAACTGGACACGTGGTGCAGGGCTAAGAGGGTTAAACTGGGCACGTGCTGCAGGGCTAAGGGTTAAACTGAGCACGTGCTGCAGGGCTAAGAGGGGTTAAACTGGGCACGTGCTGCAGGGCTAAGAGGGGGTTAAACTGAGCACGTGGTGCAGGGCTAAGAGGGGGTTAAACTGGGCACGTGCTGCAGGGCTAAGGGGGTTAAACTGGGCACGTGCTGCAGGGCTAAGAGGGGGTTAAACTGAGCACGTGGTGCAGGGCTAAGAGGGGTTAAACTGAGCACGTGGTGCAGGGCTAAGAGGGGTTAAACTGGACACGTGGTGCAGGGCTAAGAGGGGGTTAAACTGAGCACGTGGTGCAGGGCTAAGAGGGGTTAAACTGAGCACGTGCTGCAGGGCTAAGAGGGTTAAACTGGACACGTGGTGCAGGGCTAAGAGGGGTTAAACTGAGCACGTGGTGCAGGGCTAAGGGGGTTAAACTGGGCACGTGCTGCAGGGCTAAGATGGGGTTAAACTGAGCACGTGGTGCAGGGCTAAGAGGGGTTAAACTGGACACGTGCTGCAGGGCTAAGAGGGGGTTAAACTGGACACGTGGTGCAGGGCTAAGAGGGTTAAACTGGACACGTGCTGCAGGGCTAAGAGGGGGTTAAACTGGACACGTGGTGCAGGGCTAAGAGGGTTAAACTGGACACGTATTGCAGGGCTAAGGGGGGGTTAAACTGGAGGCTAAAACCTCTCATCTGGCACCGGCGCTCGTACCCAGAGTGCCTCACGTTCACCATGGCGTCCGGTCAAGTGAGTGGTGTTGTCAGCGTCCGCGCGAATCTCTCTCCTCCGTCTCTTCCTCCCCCGTCTCTCTCTCTCTGTTTCTCTCTCTCTCTCGCGCCTCTCATCATCAAATCCCGACTAAACTAAAATACGAACGGGAACAAAAAGCGTGGCGCTTTCCCGCCGGGCTCAGCTTCGCCACTGTAAACGACTGCCTCTCTTGCCGCCCGCCTTAAAAGGCACTCGGTGTTGGTGGTGATGGCCAGTTGCTCCGAGGCTATTAATGGGGCAAAGCGAGCCACTGCCCCGCTACAAATAGCCCCGGCTCACAGTCCGTCTTGTAACGTCGTCACCACTCTTTATTTTGTGGTTAATTCAACTGTGCACGGTGCAGGGTGGGGTGGGGGCAGTACAGCAAGTAGGTCGTGGTGGTGTTGTTGAGATGTTAACTCCCTCGCCTGGTGTGCAGGGAGCCCGTGGGTTCGATCCCGACCACACACGCCCGCTGCTGCTGCAGTTTGTTTGTGGTTGGCGGTGTCTCTCTCTCTCTGGGGTTGTGTTCACGTTGTCTCCGGCTCCCATCCCCCTCCACATGCAGAATCGACATCACGCGTTTAGAGTATTTGGCTGCTTATGAATGTCCACACGAAGACAGTGGGCACACTTAGTTGAGCTCTCGTTTGTGGCTAGGTCGCTTCTGGATAAATAAAAACCGATATCGCCTTACCTGGTAAAATAAAAATATATATATAGTTTAGACTTAAAGCTTTCGTGACTGCAGTAATTCATTTTCTTTGGGTCTTTCGGTAAAGTCACGTAGATGGGTTCAAAGAAAAGACCCAAAGAATATATAGTTTAGTTTCAGTTTAGGCGCGCGCCTGCAATCCAGAGCCGTTTTGGGAGAGGCGAGGGTTGGTGGGTCACGCAGAGATTTTGCGGAACTCAATAAACGGGGGTAGAGGAGGTAGCAGGGAGACTCCAGTAGGGCAGGGTTTGTGTACCCTTCTGTGCCATCTGTGTAGACCCTTGAGTATGCGTTCACCCTGGTATCCCTGCTGGGTTTTTTACTCATTCCGATATCCTACAAAGTTGAAATATCTGATCAGATATCATGAGTGGGGAAAGGACGACGTGGAATAATAGGTTAGCAAGATCGCAACAAGCATCTCCTCACTGAAAAATGCATTTAAAACCAGGCTTTGTAGAATTAGCATACATTGTTATTGCACTTAGTTATATTTACATCATAAACGTATACGGTACTTAGGAATAGGTTTTACCCTTTTAACTGGCACAAAAACTGACACCTTTATTCAAGGCATCATGTTTGCAATAACCACAACACAAGCAGTCAAAATGCAAACAAAAAAGACAACTGATAATAATATGCACTGTCCTTGAATTTGATTGGTCCACACCCGAGACGGCTTTTCTTAGAGCCTAGTCTCCATTGGTGTTGGACCAGAAGACGCCAAAAGGCGTACAACTCAAAAACAGCGCACTATCAGAGTATTGAGGGCTCGGGATGAGCATTTACATTATGAAACCTCCTTTGCCAGAAACAAGATATAGGAATAGGTTTTACCCTTTTAACTGGCACAAAAACTGACACCTTTATAGCCAGTTAAAAGGGTAAAATCTATTCCTATATCTTGTTACTGGCAACGGAGGTCTCATAAAGTATACGGTACTTGTTTGTAAAGTTTCCCTTTTAGTTATAACGGCACTCCTACGTATGAGGTCACGAGTTAAAATTATGGTTCGCAACTTAAAACGTAAAAACAATATGGTTCTACAATCCAGGTATTCTATTTGTAAAATACCGTATCATCTCCAGTTGTAATATGGTTTAAGATTAATGGTTTATAAGCAAATAACCCCTTGTGACCTGATGAATTGTCACGATTCATATCCCTAATTCTTTTACTATCTTAGGTTGATTTAGCTTCTGTCATTGCAGCAGAGGTTACATGAACTTATCACAACATATGACTCTAAAATAAGTGATTCGTACATGCACATTCTGATCTTAACAAGTGAATCGTCATTATTTACGAAACCCCTAATATAAAGTACATTCTCTTCCACATGTCTTTTTTTTGTATTGAGGTGAACTTTGTTATTACTCTTGTTCCAGAATGATGGGAGCGGAGGTAGGCTGTCGATGCGGGAAAAGGCGGTGGAGCGACGCAAGGTGAACAAAGAACACAACAGCAACTTCCGCGCTGGCTACGTGCCCGTGGACGAGGGCAGGCTGCACCGCACGGGCCTCCGAGGTCGCAAGCGCTCGCTCGCCATCTGCCTGGTCGTGCTCCTCTTCCTGCTGGCCATCGCAAACCTCATCGTAAGTTCTGCACCACTGAGCGCCGTTTGTGCAAATAAATCTGTGTTTTTTTAATCTTTTTCAACATTTCTGTCCCGCGAAGGCTCTTGGGAGTGGCCGGCCACGCTATGGCCCGCCGTTCGACTTGCTTCACGAATGAAAGATCCACGGACTCCTGTACTTGTGAAAAATTCGACTTACGAACTTTCAGAGATACGAACAAACCTGTCCGTATGTCCAGTTGCAGCTGTTCACGATGCTATTGCCTGTTACAAGTTGATTTATGAAGGGAAGAAGAGAACAAATGTACAGACATCTCTTGGTAAGTTTATCAAGAGAGTAAAGAGGAAACAAGAGCACCAAACGGAATTAGCATGTACCCGAAACACGAGGAATGGCTTTAAAAGTTGTATAATCTCCTGTAGATGTAGATGTCACTGGTCCTTCATGTTCTGCAGATGTAGATGCCACTGGTTTTTCATGTGCTCTAGATGTAGTTGTCACTGGTTCCTCACGTAGCATCTACATGAAATACGCACAGGTTTATTCATATCTGAAAGTTCCTAAGTAGAGGAGTTCCTGTAGTGTGCTCCATTCTCATCAAGTTTTTAACATATATGTTTTAATGTATGTATTGTGAGCTTACTTTATATTTATAAATCAATGCATTCTTACATCCCTACATGTAACCCGGATAGCAGCTACATTTATGCATACCTACCACTGTAGATAACACGAGTTTTTCCTACGTGCCTCACCTGGGCATTATGTTGTAGACCACGCTGATCATCTGGAACGTGATTCGGCTGGGCCCGGAGGGCTGTGACAGCATGGAGTTTCACAACACTGGGCTGCTGCGCTTCAAGCAGGTGTCAGACATGGGCATCGTGTGCCCCTACAATAGCGCCGTTGGTGGCCGCAGTAACGAAGACCTGGTCATCACTGGCAACACCAAGCCGGTGAGAGTAGTGCTTTGCATTGTGGACCTTGTAAACCCATCTTCCATTCTGGGTTTTTCTCTCTTACTAATTGTGTATTAGGAGTTAATTGTCTTGTAAACATGAGTGTATATCGCATGTATAAACCACTGGTAACAACGATCTAAGTACTGGATATTAAGCGCTGAATTCTAGTTTTAAATTGCTGATGTCCTTTTACTTTGCCAGAAAGAGACTCCTTTAAATTGAATTTTACTCATCAAGAATTTAGAACTGTGCGTATCTTTACTCGGTGATCACATTGACAATCCTGTTAAATATTTAAATTATAATCCAGTCGTTCACAGGTGTAACAATTCACTGCTCTTGTTTTGTAAGCCATTGCTCAATATTGGCAATGTATTAATTTTTTATTCACTGTCAAATAGCACTGATAGTTTACTTACTTATTTCACTTTTACAGCACCTCAGAGACAATCCTCTAATCCTGATCTTAGTGCACTGGTAGATACCCAGCGTTACTCCAACTTTCATAGCTAAAACAAGGACATCATCTTGGTCTACAGGTAACCGTTACACTTCTGGAAGGTAATTAAGCACGAAACTACATGTTTGCACTTGCAGGTTATCATGCAGAGAAAGCAAAGCAGCGTGACGGTGGACGCAGACAAGACATCGGTTGTCAGCAAGTTGGGCCTGGAGGTGACCGATCCACGCACCAAGAAGACTTACTTCAGCACGGACTACAACAAGCACGAGTTCCACCTGCCCAAGGGCGTCAAGATTCTGCACGTGCAGCGTGCCTCCACTGAGCGGGTATGTTGGCTGAGTTGCATATCGCATCATCGTCATCATCATTATTGGCTGCTATGTGGCCCAACTAGGCCGAGCAATTTTTTGGTGAAAATGTGTCAGGATTTGGTTCCCACGGTAATCGTAAATGCAGAAAATTGATCAATCGATTGAGATATGAATAACACGGCATGGGGAGGCCTTCATCTAGCAGTGGATTGACAAAGAGGTGTAAGTAATTTTTTCACGACGTAAATTTTTTTTTATTTAGAGGCATCTAATTTACTCCCTTTGCAATTTGGTAAATTGTCATGATCCACGGTTGGAAGTTATTAAGCAGTATATATTTTCCCCATTGTGTCTCGGGGTTAATGGGAACCAGTGATGGAGAAAAGTATACGAATTGAAGAGAATGCATTCTCAAACGTGATTCTATGCACGTATGGCCCCTGTAAGAATAAATTATAGTCGTTGAACTAATGCTTTGCTTCATGCCTGGTTATGTCATGATTATCCCAATATATGATTAAAACACATTTTAACTAAATTCTACACGATCACACATTGTTGGGTATTCCATTGGCCAAGAACCCAATTTTTTTTATACATTTTAACAAAAAAAACATTTTTTAGATGAATTGCCTTTTTAAATCAATAAAACATCTTCAAAATGAAATACAGATGTTTAAAAAAAAATACAACATGCTGTGACCACTGCCACATCCAGGTGACAAGCAACCACACTTCAGACCTGGTGCTGAAGTCGCAGCAGGCAATAGTCCGTGGCAATGAAGGTGTTTACATTAATGGCGTGCGTTTGGCGTTCCACGTGAAGGGAGACATTCATCTGCAGCCGGTGAGACCAGAGTTTCTTTTTACACCCCAAACACACATAAGTGAGGAATTTCCCAAAATTGTTTTTGGCTGCCTGCAAATAGCTGTCTAAACGTATATGTGCTGCAGTGAAATATTGTCTTTGACGCTTTGTTTGCATAGGGAACAGTATTACATTTAGAGATGTTAATGTGGCATTAATTCTATATTGGATTTGTGCAGAGCGTTGAGGGTGGTTGACAAGACCCGGCGGTAGCACATGTTACTTTTTGGAGAGTTTCACAGTTTTATTCTAGTGGGGGTGCCCTGATTATCACTGAGGTGTCTATTAACCACAAAAAATACGCGCCGTCTGCTTGACAGTGGAAGGCCATTGCTGGCGTTAAGATCCACATTTTTTTTAATTACCTGTAAATGAGTCGGTTGGGATTATACATTGACCCGCCACTTTTAAAACTTGGTAGGGCCCTCCTAAAAAAGAGTCATGACACTCATTGAGTAGATTTAAGAGTCATCATCTTTGTCGCTTTTTGTCTCTTCACTGATTGCCTTTATTTCCAGCTGTTGTCCCTACTCTCTTGACTGAAATATTACTGCTTGCTTTTATCTGCCCCCATTGCTACATCTGCCCCTTCCTCTCTCCCGTGCCATGGCCTCCCGCCTCGCTGGCCCCAACCTTCGTCCCGACCCACCCGCGCTTTGGCCCGGCAGACGGAATCGCTCGTGCTGGATGGCGGCGTGACCCTGAACCCCGCGCGTTTGCCGCGCGCCAGTTCCGACGTGGGCGCGCTGCTGCGCGGCGCGGAGGCCGAGCGCTACAAGCTGTGCGTGTGCGCCGACGGGCTGCTCTTCCGCGTGCGCGTTACCTCGGAGAGCACTGGCTGCCTCGTGACCAACACCCCCTGCGGGCTCGCGAGCTAAAGCGTTTGCTCTGCAACGGTACCGGCGGGCGGGCGTGCGTGCGTCTGTGTGTACTTACGTACGCCTCCTTTCAGAGATTCGGCTTGCACCCACAAGGGATGGATCCCTTAATAAGGGCCATTACGTGAGAGATATATATATATGTATAGTATAGACATCTATGGCCATATAGGGATTAACTGGACTGAGGCAAGAACTCGTGCCATGTGGCCCATCACCATACGCATCCTCCTTTACCGTTCCGGGATGCTGCCATGATGTAATGGTGAGCACACTGGACTTGAAATACAGAGATTGCTGATCCAATTTTGGGCCTCCCAGCAAGTCAGTTGAAACAATGGCTCAGTTTTATTAAATGTCCCCGCCTCTGCCCATTTGGATCAGCAGGTCCATTTTGGTGGCCACTGTGGAAGAGTAGGCAAAGATACCCTCTTGAGGGGTGCTATAGTTATCATTGTAGTGGAAACCCTTGTGCCAGCAGTGGCGAGAGCCAGGGCTGCACCAACTTTTATACCGCTTAAATTTATTTGAAAACTTTTGTGCACGATTGTTATTGTTTTAATAATGGATAGTCCATTTTATTTGGTTGTTCCACGATGTCCATGCCTCTTATTTGGCCTGTGTCTCTATATGTGGCTCTTTCCAAATACATCCAGACTCATGGATTGTTGCTGTTTCAAGTGAGTTTATGTCCTGGTGAGGATTAGTTGGTGTTTATGGTTGCCAAAGGTAATATCCATAGCCACCTGTAATGGAAATCTAGTCATATATTGGATCATAGTACTTTGAAAGCAAACTTCTGAAGTTATTACAATCACGCAAGTTTTTTTTACATTTCTACAATTATTGATCCCCAAAAGTAGGTACTATAGAGCTGATTTTTAAAATCTTAACTTAACCATGAAATCACATCCTTCACATAAGCAATCATTTGCAACCCATCATCAGTATGCTGTTGGATTAATGCCTCCCCAAGCCATGTGGATCATGGGAATTGTTTGACCATAGTTTGGGTTTGTAAAAGGGTGCTCCAGGACTGGTTCAAATATTGCTCACCAATAAATATTTGCAATGACCAGGAATCCTATTTTGGTGGCTGGGTTCATAGTGCAATGCACGAACCACTGCAACACCACTCTACCGCTCCTTTGCATCATAATTTTACTACATTGGATTGACATATTTTTTATCGGACTTTTGTGTGCATTGTGGAAATCGTGAGGCCATGACTCGCCTAACATTTCTTTATTGGCCTATTTGATGGGGACAGTTTACCTCATAGTATTGAAAGTATTTTTGCACATTTAATTAATTGTAATATCAATGAATGCACATTTATACAAAATCAGCTTATGTATAGCAGTCAGTACCGCCGTTCTAAACACTGCAGTTGTTGCCGACTGGTCCTAGTTTTGTGTACTGCCGTCAAACAGAGACGCCACTGAATCTCCGACGTTACAAATCCTTTTGTACAGAAGGCCATGTGTGAAATTTACGTCACTAATATGTATGTTTCAAGTATTTCTGTGCAACTCGGTGGAACAGTCAGCTGCCTACACTATTCTAGAAAGTTTGACCTTTTACACTATTAAGTGGACTTTATAGTATTTAAACTTACCTGTAGAGGGCGATGGTGCCATATGTCAGAACATATTGAAGTGGCTGATGGTACTTTGAGAAGTTCTTGAACACTAAATGTCCGACAGTGTTTCGGTAAAAAAAAATATATGCCATTCATGTTGTGAAGATAGAGCTTACGTTCTATATATTTTAGGATTCGAAAATATAATTGTTATTTGAAGAAAGGATAAGTTATATGCTTGAGTGTTGGCGAGGATCTCTGTAAACACACCAATGCCAAGTATAACCACCACGCAACACCATGCACAGCATTCGTCCTGAAGTATTTCAATCCTTTACTCGATGGGTTTGAGGCCATGTATTATTTTCTGTGTGAATTCCTGGCTGCACCAGTGGCAGGGAAATTCTCTGCACAGTGGAGATATTTTCAAAACACATCCTGAAGGTTTTTGTAACGACTTGTGCCAGATTTCACAGATTGACATTTAATTTAATTTGCACGTTTTTTTACGCAGTATTGCATGTCTGCCTTAAGTTATAAACAGCGTGTATTTGTGTGTATATACGTATGCTTTTTAATTGACGTCTTGTTTGGTATTTATGGTGTATTGCTTAAGGGACACTATGGGTCTTTGTGGAGGAAACACGAACCCAGTTGCATGCAAGTGTCGTTAATCTATGAATTGTTTACACTCAGGTTTCCAAAACGTCATGCCTTGTGCCCTCCCACGCCCACCTGACTATGTTCAGGCTTTATTCGAAGGCAAATTAATTGCACATCGCAAGGTTCACACAAGTAAACACAAACCTTTCCTCAATTTGAAGATCGGGACGGCTCCTGAGAAAGCCAGGTGACTCGCTTGTCAAAGCACGCGCGTGGAGGACCTTATTTTGAGGAGCGAATTGGACTTTGAAATACCCTTTTGGTGCGTCACATTAACACACCTCAGTAGCCACTGCTGAAATGCGTGACTTGAGGCAATTAAAAATATAAAGAGTGTTGCCAGGTCAAAAATATTCCCTGTTTTAGTATCTCAGTGCAGATAAGCGTTGTGTTCCAGATCAAGTTCACCACCCCTCTAGTAGAGTACAATGAGTAAACAACGCCTTCTCGATAAAGACCCATGGTCTACTCTATGCAGATATCGGCTGTTGTGTGTGCATTTCAGAGATTTAAAAAACTATACTTAAATATTACAGCTTACGACGTTTTAAAAAGTAATGGCTTATTAAACTGGAAACATGATTGAAAACACACTGTTACCCTGTTAGAGTTCTGTGGATTTTTGTTTCTGCTGCCTTAAGATTTATATTTTACCGTTACACGATGTATTCACAATGCCTTTTATCATGTGCGGTGGAAAGCACAAGCATCCTGTCGGGATCTCCGTCACGGGCTATTTAAGTGGAAACATGTTCAACCTGCATGGGGGACGTATGCGAGCGATCTGTTGGTTGTTACTCTTGTCCGAAGGCACTCAATAATTGCGTTCAAATCGTATGTTAATATCACAAGCGTACAATAAAAAGAGGAATTCCGACTGCCGTTGTATGACGCTGTTTTCACTTGCAGTGTTTCTTTTTTTAGTGCAGTTGCTGTAAACAAAATGCGCTGATCTTATCTTAACGTAATTTTTACTGCGCATTATCCAAGGCGCTTTACACAATCATCGAGAGTAGGTATGAATGTCTAGTGGAGATAGGGTGGATGAAAGAGATGAGAGGAAGCTCAGGGGGCAAATCTGTGAAGATGCGTGAATTCGGTGAAAGCGAAATTTATGACAGGAAATGATGAATGGATTGAATGAATGAATGGGGGAACGAGTGATATCCGTGTAATGAGAATATGAAGAGGGCGCGGTAACCAGTGGCGCTTATAAGGGGGAGATTAAGGGGTCGTGGGTTGAGCTCGGGGTAACAATAAGTGAGTTTTGAGTGCGGAACGGAAACTAGTGAGCGAAGGTGACTGCTGAATGTGGAGGGGAGGGGGGTCCAGTGAAGGGGTGGGTGAGAAGAGAGCGATAGCGTGAATTAAGGAGAAGGAGGAACGGCGAGAGAAGGCAAAGATTGAGAAGACGACATAGACCGATACAAGAGTGGCAACATACGGTGGGGCAAGTCCATGACGGGATTTGTGGACCAGGGTGAGGAATGTGAACAGGCGGTGCCCTCTTTTCAGCCAAGGCAATGAGATCATTGCAGCGTGCATCTATTGCTGGACGTGTTTGTTGTTGAGGCAACAATAACATGTAGCTTCGTGGTGTCATGTATGCCGACTACCAATATTAAAACAGAAAATTGAAACGTAATGTATCTTCAATGTCCCTGTTAATGACTGTGACCCAGCACTGCAATGAAAATCCACACATTCGCACTGACAGCGATTTGTAATTTAGTGTTATTGTTATCGTTTCACAAACAAAAACAACCTAATCCTTCAGGTGGTTTATTTCTACAATGCAAGGAGTATGTTATGTTTCGTGAAGGGAAGTTAGCATTCCTCTGATGTTTTTGGCACCACATAACATTCAATCCCAGCCTCGGAGAGCATTTTTGTTTTGCCTTCCACGGACATCTGAAGCGCTAAAGCCCAAAACTGTATCGCGTGTTTACTTGCCCATTGATGTCCTTAATGTCCACATATCAGCTGTCCATTTTCTGTGTTGTCCAAAGGTTTAACTCGAGTGCCTTTGGCATCCATTGGAAACAACTCTTAAGTTAAGTAACGTCAATCGTTAATGTTGAAACCTATCTTAATGTTTCACAGGCTGACTGTCGAAATATTTTTGGTGAGTGTCTGTGCACAGTTTACGGAACGTATTGTACTTCCCCGTCAAGTTGCATTTGTTGAAATGTGATAATGGCCCGTCTTTAATACAATCCTTAAAGACTTAGTTGATTAAAAAATGTCCGAGGTTTTAATCAAACAATGTAAAATATATTGTCCACGGGAAATTTTAATCGTTTAAGATGTGCGTTTGATAATCGGCATATTTTCTTTCTTTGTGTGGAAGTTTCCATTATGTGTTTAGGTATTTAAAAAAATAATTTTATCAAATAAGTTTCGTAGGTGAGCACATTTGACCTGTTTTCTCTAAGCTTCAGTACTGCAAAGTAACAACTATTGTAGTTTGAACATTTAATGATCTCACAACTACACATTCTTGGTTCTTTCGGCACAGTCACGTTTCCCTCTTACGTGACTTTGCCGAAAGAACCAAGAATATGAATCCCTGCAGTCGCAAAAGCTTTAAATCAAGATTTCACATCGGTTTCCTCCTCTGCTTTTATCATTTTTTTTAAACTTTGAACATCACGTTTTTTGTGTCACGTGTTCACAATAAAAAAACAGGTTCAAATGGTAAAGGTTCAGCGTTCATATTAAGAGAGTTAGGTGATGTGTAACGAAATGCATGGGGCTGCTGGCTTTTGATGATAGCTGCTTGATCTTTTGTCGTTCCCGTTCGCTCTGTTACTGTCTCACTCAGCTGTTGATGAATAATCCACGTGAATGAATGCATTCATGCGTCAGTGAAATTCCAAAGCCCTATCGTGAATAGTAGTAAATCTTCAGCACCGTGAGCTTTGAACTGGGACTTTGGCCGAGAGATGTGGGTCCCCTTTTCTGCAGTACATAACCACTTGCAAAGTCTAAGTGTCCTTCACTGCTTATGAGTAAAAGCATCCGTTGAGCTCAGAATAAATGTAAGAGACACACACACTCCAAATACTTTTTTTTAAATCAAATTAACTTTAGTTTTACAGACACTTTTGAGTTATCGTTTATTGGAAGATACTGTTGACGATGCTAATTAGATAGAAGTCTGCAGTGAAGAAAATCAACTCCAAACTCGTGCTTATTGCTTCCACAAGCCACGTTCTGAATGGTAATTGTATGTTGTCCTGCATGCACTCGTGCTAAACTTTCCAACTTAACGGGAAAAGTTGATACTTTTTACAAGGGGTGTTATGCACTCTGGAATGGCCGTGTTACACCTGTGCCAAGTCATGAGTTGGAGAGCCATTTTAGAATGCTCCATTCCAGACAAGGGTAAGACGCGAGTTCAGCTAATTGAGCATGAGACAGATTTATACTACACATGGCATGATTAGTATGTATATGCACAGTATTGCTTGTATACATGAATGTGTATTTTGTAGACAAGTAATTTCTGCCATTGCTATGTTGCAATGATAATACAATTATAGTTAAAGAAGTGTCTTAAATGTGGTTGCGCATCCAGGCGCTTTATGACATGGGTATTGATTTGGACTTCGAATATATATGTACTGTGGTTTCAGAGCATAGGGAACGAGCAGCTGGAATGATGATATTATGGTAGTTTTTCAAATTTAGGCACATCATCGAAAATATATGATTTGGTGCTCGATGTTTAAACTATCAAAGTAGTTGTGCTGGGTAGATCCCCATGTCTTGTTGGTACATCCTCCTCGATAACACTAACATTCCATGACAACATTCAACACCATCACAGTCATGTATGTATGTTAAAATTATTTCGTACCGTACGTAGCCAACCATGTCAATCGGAGGTGCGGGGGAAGGACAACAAACCAAACGCAAAAAAGCAGTCCTGAATAAATCAGTTTGTCAATCTAGATTATCTAAAAGTGCATAGCTCCAGTGGCTTCCTAATGTCGGATGGAAGAGCGTTCCAGACGGCCGCAGAAGCACCGTCTGTAAGCGCGCGCCGCAGTTCCTGCGGCCGTCATCCGCGCCTCCGGTTAGCACGGCGCGGCTACGCGCGGCGCGAAATAAGTTCTACGTGCACACGCACAATCACTTGGGCTGACGAGTAGGAGTCCCCTTCACTCGCAGCGCGATGGATCTCGTGCCGCTGCCACCTGCCGCCGCCGCCGCTGTCCTCCTCCTCGTGCTGCAAGCGTGCGCGGCGCCCGTGCCCGCGTGCCCGCTCGCCTGCACGTGCACGCGGTCCCCGGCCGCTGCCGACGTCCTCGCGGTGAACTGCAGCGGCGTGGGCCTCTCCTCCTCCTCCCTCGCCGGGATCGACGCCGCCACCGCCGTGGGCACGCTCGACCTGAGCCGCAACGGCGTTGCCCGCGTGGACCTCGTCCTCCTCGGCGGTCTCGCTGGGCTCGAGGTGCTCGACCTCGGCGGCAATGGGGTCGTGGAACTGCGGAGTGGCTCTCGGGGTGGTTGGCGACTGACGCCCTGGGGACGTGGGTTTTCTGGTGGTGGTGGTGGTGGGCAGCTCCTGAAAAACCTGAAGGTGCTCCTTCTGAACGACAACAAGCTTGAGAACATACCCGCAGGTTTGTGTTGTTATTATTATTATTTTAAAGAAATAGTTTATTACGCTTTTGTCGGTGACGTTCAAAGGACCGTGCCAGTGTCAACACGAAGAACAGCGGATGAAACGAGTTGGTAAACATTGTGAGATGTCAGCAGGCACAATCATTTGACGTTGTGCTTCTAAACGCAGCTTATTACGCGTTAGGTGTATGCATAATCATTCGCATTGCCTCGTACTACAGCATAGTTTATAACTTTTTACAGTTAACATTTCCATAGCCCACTTAAAATTCTCAACTCTTATCACGAGTAGCTTGCCTTCCTGGGATGATGTTTTCGCCTTGATGGAGCAATGGCTCAGGGATTTCCTTGGCAGTATTTGCTTACACAATCTCTCGTGTACGATGAAAAAAACTCGGCATACTAGCACCTTGCAGCCCATATAAAATATAAATTATATATGTACACTATGCCTGCCATTGATAAAGTCACTCGGAATACACGTGATTTAGTCAGATCTCAAGGTAAGCAGGGGTTGAGCCTGGATCGTGCTTGGATAGGTGACCACCAAGCACAACGCAGTTGCTCTGGGACTACGTGGTCTGCAGCATGGGAGGGCTTTGCAGGAAAGTCATTAGTTGTACTGTGATTCTATGGTTTCACGTTTAAGCTCTCTACCTTCAGCATCTCACACAACCCAATACTGCGAATTCAAACAGAGGCCCCCATTCAGCAGTGGACTGGAAATGGCTGTACACTCGGGCTATAACATTGGGCTATAACAATGGGATATAACATTGGGGCTATAATATTGGGATATAACAATGTTTTCCCTTTTGCGACTGGATGATTTGCCACGATTCGAGATAGTCGTTTGATCAAAGGATTGTATTCGTTTGTTTTACATTGTCGTGCCATGTGGCCCCTTTAGTGCCTTCGCGTGTTACGCGAGCTAGAGGTATAAGTGCAGAAAATTTGTAGTGGAAAAAAATGATAGGATGCATTTTAATAGCTGGATCGTTGCATTGTTACACCCCCCCCCCCCCCATAACCAGGGTGCGATTTGATGGGGGCTTGGGGAGGTTGGGGATTTACCTGCATATACGCACCTTCAATTGTCATTAACCACTTGATGGGAATTTTTCGTCAGCTTCAGAGTAGACAGAGCAGCAAGGACTATGTATATTTAACTGCTTTCGTACCGTACGTAGCCAACCGTGCTAATCGGAGGTGCCCGTTAATGTTGGTAATGTAATCATGGAGGTAG